CCCCAGCAAAATGGAGTAGTAGAAAGGAAGAATAGAACTCTGGAAGAAATGGCAAGAACAATGTTGATTGACAATGGACTTGCAAAGAACTTCTCGGCTGAAGCTATCAACCTTGCCTACTACTTAGTGAACAGGTACATGATCAGATCACTTCTAAACAAAACCCTGTATGAATTGTTGAATGGAAGAAAACCCAAGCTGACTCACCTAAGAACATTTGGATGCAAATGCTATGTTTTCAACAATGGAAAGGATCAGCTTGGTAAGTTCGATGCCAAAAGTGACGAAGGAATATTTCTTGGTTACTGTTCTCAAAGCAAGGCCTACAAGATATATAACAAGCGGACTCAATGTGTTGAGGAAAGTGTCCATGTTATTTTTGATGAATCTCATCCATCATTTGAGAAGAGTGTTGAGGAAGATCAAGATGGAGAACCCTTACTTGTTTCTGGTGAAGTCATTAACATGACAAATGGAAAAGCAGATATGATGAGTCAAGTAAAGGAGCCAAATGAAGACAATGCTGCCTCATCATAAACAGAACCAAACACTTCAATTACAACCTTTGAAGCTAAAGAAAGAGTGGTTGATGCAGTTCAGGGAACTCCACTAGCACCTGAGAGAAGGATAGAGGAAAATCAGCCAAACATACCTTCCTCCTCTCAGAATGAATCTCAGACGTCCAACTAGAGACATCAAAGATCTCACCCTATAGACAACATAATCACTCCTCTAGATTCTGGAGTTCAAACCAGGTCAAGAGCCAAAAATTCACTTGACTTCTCAGCCTTTTTCTCCCAGATAGAACCCAAAAACATCAAGGAAGCCTTGAAAGATGCAGATTGGATTACAGCCATGCAAGAGGAGCTGAATCGGTTTGAGAAAAACAGTGTGTGGCACCTGGTACCCAGACCCCTAGATAGAACCATTATAGGAACTAGGTGGGTATTCAGAAACAAGCTCGATGAACATGGAATTACCACAAGGAATAAGGCCAGGCTAGTGGTCCAAGGCTACAATCAGGAGGAAGGGATTGGCTATGATGAGACGTTTGCTCCCGTGGCTCGCATGGAAGCTATCAGAATTCTAATCGTTTTTTCATCTCATATGGAATTCACCTTATTCCAAATGGATCTAAAAAGTGCATTTTTGAATGGAATCCTTAAGGAAGAAGTCTATGTGAAGCAACCCCCAGGGTTTGAATGTCATGAGCACCCTGAATATGTGTTCAAACTGGACAAAGCTCTGTACGGGCTAAAGCAGGATCCTCGAGCTTGGTATGAAAGATTGTCAAAATTCCTCTTAGAAAATGGTTTTAAGAGAGAGAAAATTTACAATACTCTTTTCTTAAAGAAACGAGGAAGAAACCTGCTCATTGTTCAGGTTTATGTTGATGATATCACTTTTTGAGCAACAGCTGACTCTGTGTGTGAAGAATTTGGAAAACTTATGGGAAACGAATTTGAAATGTGCATGATGGGAGAATTAAACTTCTTCCCGGGTCTTCAAGTAAAACAGTACCCAAAGGGTACTTCCATTTGTCAGCAAAAATACATCAGGAAGCTCTTGAAGATGTTTAACATGAAAGCATCAAAGGTGATAGACACTCCCATTGCAACTGCGACTCGACTGGACGTTGATGAAACCGGATCTCCTGTGAATCAAATAATGTATAGAGGCATTATTGGGTATCTCCTCTATTTCACTGCCAGTCGACATGATATTGTTTTCAGTGTGAGGCTGTGTGCGAGGTTTCAATCAAATCCCAAGGAATCTCACTTGAAGTCTGCCAAAAAAATACTGAGATATCTCAAAGGAACGCAGGACCTGGTGCTATATTATCCATCAGGTGACAGTTTTAATTTGATTGGGTATGCTGATGCAGACTATGCAGGTTATCTTGTGGACAGAAAAAGCACTTCTAGGATGGCTCACTTCTTAGGATCATGTCTTATCTCTTGGGGTACAAGGAAGCAAAATTTAGTGGCTCTTTCAACAGCTAAAGCTGAATATGTAGCTGCAACATCCTATTGTGCTCAACTTCTATGGATCAAGCAGCAACTAGAGGATTTTTGGGTACTCACTAAGAGTGTTCCCCTTCTATATAACAACTCTAGTGCACTCAACATGGCCAAGAATCCAGTTCAACATAAAAGGACAAAACATATTGATATGAGGCATCATTGTCTGAGAGATAATGTGGAGAAAGGGTTGATATGTATGAAGTTTTGCAGCACAAAAGATCAAATTGCAGACCTTTTCACAAAAGCACTAAGTAGGGAACATTTTGAAAGAAACAGAGTAAAGCTAGGACTGTTGAGGCCAAATTAAGAACCTGATTCCTCTTTGGCTGGCTCGTATCCGTAAGAAATAACTGGCTCAAAGTGTTTTCTGGCCCTGTCTAACTCACTTCAATACCGTTGCATGTAAACACACATGATGAGCATAGAAGCGATAGATGCAGTGCATGACTGATAAAAGAGGATTGATTCTTTTCAAAAAAAAAAAAATCAAGAACCAGGTTCTTGTACTAAAGGTTAGTAGTTCTGTGCATCCTTTTAATACACGTCTTAAAAAGGGTACAAAATACAACTGCCATGTTATCAACTTTTCAGATCCTGCTGTCACGTCCCTTCAATTCAAAACGTTTCATCTCCCTCTGAAACATCGCAATTCTGCACGCCCAACCGCCATTTCAGAACCGGTGCTTATTCCTCTCCCTTCATAATTATCCTCTCCTTTTAAAAACCCTCTCTTCTGCCCTTCTTAACCATAAGCCTTACTCTAGACTCACCCAAAAGGAAAGGATCATCACACAACTTCTTCAAATGGCTGAGAAAACTTTCGATCTCTCTGCCTCAGCTGTAACTACCTCTGACCCATCTATGGAACCTCTCGTTTTCACTGAGCCTTCATCACCCTCTATCACTCCTACTGCTGCAGTCACACCTTGCCCAATTTCCCAACCTCTTCCCAACTCAGAAACTCTTGAAACACTATTCCATTCTCCCCATCGTCTGTTGTTCCCACCAGTCAAACCCTAAGTGGAGAACAAGGTCAAAATACTGAGTTCACAGAGGGTTCTACCATTGTTGACGCCGATTCCATGGTTGTGGAAGCCCCGGTTAAAGAAGAGAAGGATGTCATAACTGTGTTTGTAGTATCCACTGATGGGATATTGCATGAAATTACTTCCCAGAAAAATGAGTCACACAGTGTGGGGGAAGAATGGGCCATTATGACCGTTGAAGGGGATGCAGTAACAAATACTACTGGGGCATCACATGAGGAACCTGATCCCTCTCCAAAGGACCCAGGTCAGGACTCTCATCCCCAGGACAGTATTGTTCTTGCATTCGACGTTGTGCCTCTGGAAATTCAAGCACCTGAAATACGATCTAGTGATGAAGAAGACCTGGACAACGTGGCCCTTGATGCATTCATAAGTAAGCGAAGGGTTGTATCCACCCTTGAATCTGAAATCAAGCGACCTACTACCAGGATTCAAGTCAAAGTGGCCTACGACTTGCTCTCCAAAAGAGCAAGAAGAGTAGTAAGAAGAAAAGAAGAAAGTTGGTGAAGGATGGTGTACCTGTAAGTGATGAGGCTATCCCTGTAGTCGAGGTGGCAGAGGGAACTCCTAAGGAACCTGGTTCCCTTGTTAGGCGGTCCTCAAAAAAGGCAGAGCCTATTTCAATGGAGAAAAGGTCAATATCTAAGTCCAAGATGAAGGAGGTAGTGAGTGATGAGGATATACTAGTCAAGTCCAAGGGAAAAGGCAAAGTTAGTGGAGAAAAGCTTAGGAAACGCAAGTCTGAAACTATTGAAGAACCTAGCTCTGGGAAGAAAGTGAGAAGTGAGGTCTGCCTTGGCTTTGAGCGCCCGAGTCATCAAAAAGTTCTACTGGGACGTATGTTTGACCCAACAATCTCTGAGATGGCCGAAATGCGCCAAATTCTGGAAATGGTCGAGTTTCAACAATGGGTGCATCTATTTCACATTGATGCACCTAAAGTGTATGAGGAGGAGGTACAAAGTTTCTTCGCTAGTCTCTTTCCAGTTGATACTGACCATGTCTGTGCTTTGGTCAATGGGGTCGACATCGTCTTTGATGTGAAATTGCTTGGAGAGATTTTGAAAGTTCCTACAGTTGGGGTGTCGAGTGTACGAGATGTTTATCAGTATAACTTCAGAAATGCAGTGGTGAAAGACAATGCTAATCAGAAAGGGAACCAGATCCATAAGAAAGCACTACTCCCTGTCTACCAGCTACTGTTTGAGTTGGTTAACAAAGTCCTATTGCCTCGAGCAGAAAGGAGGCCTGTGACTTCCAAGTCTGACTTATTCCTAATAGAGCAACTGGATGGTTTTAGCCCTGTGAGTCTGCCTGCCATAATGATTGAACACATGCAGAAGGTTGCCAATTTTAAGGACGGTAATCATGGGCTTCCCTATGGATTCTTGCTTACTCCGGTGTTCAAATTCTTTAAAGTTCCATTGGGAACAGGTAAAGTGGGGACCCGAAAGCAGACATTCTCATAGACAACCTTGGAAGAGAGTGAGTATGTTGAGAAGTATGGGGGNCAGTGCAGCTGAGGAAATTCGTCGGTTGAAGGCCAGGAATTCTATCTTAGAAGGTCAGCAAGCCCGAGCGGTTCCCATGTCGAATGATGAAGTGGTTCGTTTGACACAGGAAAATGCTGGTCTCAGGGCGCAAGTTGAGAACCTGAAGGTTGTACTGCTCAATGAGCAAAAGTCGGGAAACACTCGGATAGACCTTGTTCTCCAGACACTTGCTGTAGCTACCAAGCATTTTCCTCCTAGTGCCCCCTAAGAACCCCTTCAGTGACCAGTTTTCTGGAAATGTTTCTTCTTTTTTTTCTTTGTTGATGTTTGGTGGATGTTTTTGTGTTTTTTATGGTTAGGATGTAGTACTACTGCTCCTGTGAACAAGTCCAATGTTGCCTCTTCCTTTTTCAAAAGGCAGAGGCATATTAAATCATTATTAATATAAATCCTTTTTATTATGTCTAGTACTCTCTCTCTGTGTTCTATTCTCTATCATGATTGTGTGCACATATATGGCATGAGTTAGCTTAGCTAGACTTCTTTGTGCTGTTGTTCTTTTTAATGATGCCAAAAGGGGGGAAAATAATATAGGACTCAAGGGGAAACACATTGGGGAACTGGTTCTTATGCTCTATTGATCTGACCATGTAAGATAAGGCATAGTCTCAGGGGGAACTCTATGTTCCCTGAGATTTTGAAACTGGTTTTTACTGCCCCAATTCCTACTTATAAATGTTAAGTTTGTCATCATCAAAAAGGGGGAAATTTATAGATCTTAAATACTCTTGCCTTATGTTTTGATGATCTAACAAACTTACTGTTAAGAACTAGATAGTGAACCTGACCTACTTGGATTGCTGCAAGCTTTAACGGATTCCAGCTAAAAGTGAACTGCTACAGCTTCAGGAGCTAGGAACCAACACAAGGACCTGATGCTCTTGTGGTTTCCTCATAATAGTACAAAGTCAATTGGACACAGCTGGAAATGAAGTGACTCACGACACTGTTTCTGCCGCACTGCACTACACTGTCAGCCCACTCATTCTCTAACCAAACAAAGTACTCACATCATTTAAAATGATGTGATCAAGATGTACCCAAAGATCTTTATACAAAACATTACTGGAAGGTTTCTGTTTCTCATTCAAGCCTCTTGCAAAAATAGAGAAATCAATCCTCACAAGCTTGAAGAACAAGGTTGAACGCTACTACGGACCAGTTCCTAAAAGATAAATTGTTGTTGTCCTAGTTGAGTTGTAACCTTGTTATTGTACTTACTGTATCTCCTAAACTGCTTACCTAGAAGCATTTTGATTAGGAATCCTCTTGTAAATTCGTAAACTCCTTGAGTTTATGTTGTGACTGGATTTAGTTATAAGGAAAAGTCTTTGTAATCGTAGGTTACAAAGTGGCTTGTGGTGATAGCATCACAAGTTAGAAAAAGCCTTTGTAACTAGGATAGTCACAAAGTGGCTTGTGGTAAAGGTACCACAAGTTAGTTGAGTAAATCCTTTGCAATAGGAATTATTGTAAAGTGGCTTGTAATAGATAAATTGCAAGTTAGTGAAGTTAAAAGCCTACAGGTGTAGGTAGTAGTTTTTTATCCCCTTGTGTGGGATTTTTCCACGTAAAAATCCTCTGCCTCATTTACTTACTGTTTTATTCAGTGCTCTCAGTAGAACCTTGTAGAGGACCAGTTACTCTACGATTTGGTGAACCCATACAAACTAACAGTTGGTCTCGTAATGGATCAGGTCATAACACGAATATAAAGTATCAAGCTCAAGAATCGAGGTGCTCGTCGAGATCGAGGCCAACAACGATAGAGAGCATATATGACAGACTTCGAGCAAAGTGCAATAACGGAAAAGCGATATATCCATAACCGGTCGAGGATCACGGCGGAAATTCCGGAACATATCATATCAGATCAAGGGTAGTTGTTTAGGCTAATCATAGGATTTACTTATATAATTAGAGTTATTCCATAATTAGGATTCTTCTACTATATAAAGAGGAATCCCCATCATTTTTAGACACCTTACATTCACTCAAATCAAAACAATATAATATTATCTCTTTTACATTTTCTTGCTTATCATTTTGTTGCGTTTTAACTGCTATTGCATAACTAGCTCAAGGGTATTCAAGCTCGAGGGCTCCGCCCAAACGATGGTTTGCTTTATATTATTATCAATTTCCATTATTTATACTTAAGTTTATCGATTGATATTAGGTTAAATCACATATCCATAAACTCACATTATAAGTTTAATTATTATCCAAATTTTAGGGTAAACAATGAGTATTCTTATGTGAAAAACACCCGGCTCAAAAGGTAAAAAAACACAACCTACTACCAGTAGGATTTTTCCCAATACTTCACTAAATCACTGAGCCAAAAATAGTGTTTAAAAAACTCTTGTATACCTAAGTACTACCTCTAACCCTTTGTGGCAACCAGCCTCAAACTGTTGCGACAATTTCAAGTTAACTCGAACTTGAACAATCCACTCAGAGTACCTAGTATAAATGCTTCTACAGAAAGCTGAAAGGTACAACTCAAAAGCCCTACTACAATGAAACTAGAAAAAAAGACAGACACTTGGAACTGGTTCTTCTATCTGGTTCATGTAACTTCAGGTTCGCACACTTGAATCACACATGAATTGCTTGCAAAATGCCTTGCTATTTTGCTCTCAACTCTCGTTTAACTTCAGCGCTTGTGGTCCCTGTAAAATGAGAACATCCTAAAATATATA